GGTCTACTGAAAAAGGACTATGCCATCCTGAGAAGGATGTTGAAGGTAGTTAGTAGGACTAGTGGTGTAAAACTCAGTCAGCTCGTCACTACATTAGTTGATAGGCATCTGAATATATGCGAAAAATGGTCTAAAACCATACTCTCCGACGCCCAACACCCCCTCTATTCCCAACTCTCTCCTTGTATCTCATCAAGTAGAACCAGAAATCTGTATAAAATAATCTATGCTCGTACAACCAAGTACAGGAACTCAACGATACCATACTTCGCCCGTGTTCTAAACGACAGAGACAATGTTAAGCGAGAAACCTATGACTTGGTTTGTTGTTAATAATCATAATTTTAGGCTCTTTTATCTCTCTCTTATTTTGTATTCTATAGTGAACTCCTTCTCAAACATACTTAGCTGCCTAAATTATTAACATTGGCTTCCTTTTTTGTACTTTACTATATTCCTTCTATTGTGTATCCACTGGTTCCGACTCTATTAGCACTATGAGTATCACAAAATTGTCCTGTCATTAACCATCATGTAATTATTAGTTTTGCGGTTGTTTTTTCTTATTTTCTATACTTTTCGGCAATATTAAACTGACAATCATTGGTTGTGAACGCCATAGTCACCTCCTTAACATTTTGTATTATGCAGGATTACTCACAATACCACTACAAACAGTGCATTAGACCTGAAAATAAAAAACAAAACAACAACCCTGAAATGTTATTTTATGATTGTTTAGAGTTGTTTCAATCAAATTAACTGACCATCTTGGCGATAAACATTCTTAAATATCATTTCATAACTTCTTGTACGACCATAGCTTTACTGTCACCATGCATAATCATATCATAGCTTACACTACCTCATACTGAGTTATTATTATATGATGTTTATTTTCCTTCCTACTTCTTGGTACTTTATCGCATTTATAATTATTTTGTATACTCCTTTTAAATGTTTGAAAAATGAGATGCAAATATTGTAGATATGTGCTGAAAATACCACACTGTACCACTTGTACTGTTTCAGGAATAAAGCAAATTATTATTATTAGTTTACCAATATTCTGAAACAGAGTGATAAACAAAATCATCTTGACCGCATTTTTTTTTGCTTGATCCCGAGGCTTACCGGCAGCTTAACCGGACTTCTACTGGTATGACTGTGGCGACGGTATCAGTAGAAGATAACTTGGGTCGTCACACCACTCCTTGAGTAGCTCCGTTGACAGTAGGAGCGGACGCCAACGAAATTTTTCAAACCTCACAACCTACTGATACATTGGCGACGGTATCAGTGGGGGCTGGACTTAGTCGCCATCATTCACCAATCCAAACCCATGAACCCAACAAATCCAAGAAATATCATGCCGGATCGGCCGTGGCCCGGATTAACAACGACCGCGCTTTCTACTGCCGTGTCACAGGGCAGAAGTGATAAGTACACTACTGAGACACACCAGGCCGCGTGTGACCGGCCTCAAGCAGATGTCCCCTGGGCTCTGCGGTCACGCAACACTAACCTTTCTTCCATTTCAGGTACCCGAAGACGAAACTCAGGCGTGAGGCCAGCAACCCCATCCTGTAAACAAACCTGCTACAGAAACTTCACCATGAGCAATCTCCTTGCGACAAAAGAAAAAGTCTGTGTGGGGACATGGAATGTCCGCACTATGTACGAGACTGGCAAAGCTGCCCAGATCGCCAGCGAGATGAAAAGATACAGAATCCAAGTGCTGGGAATATGTGAAAGCAGATGGAATGGAAGTGGACTCACCAAATTATCAACGGGAGAGTCAGTGATCTACTCCGGTCACCCAGAAGATAACCACACGCACACCGAGGGCGTGGCTATCATGATGTCACCAACGGCAGCGAAAGCCCTGATGCAATGGGAAGCGATCTCGTCCAGGATAATGACCGCCAGATTCAACTCCAAAGGAAGAAAAGTGTCAATAATCCAATGTTATGCACCCACCAACAACGCAGACCTCGAAAAGAAAGAAGAATTTTACAGACAACTACAGTCAGCAATAGACAATACTCCAGCTGGCGACATTAAAATACTAATGGGAGATATGAACGCCAAACTGGGACAAGACAATACAGGAAGAGAACTCATCATGGGTAGAGAAGCTCTTGGAGAAATGAATGAAAACGGAGAACTCTTCGCCGACTTCTGCGCCTTCAACGAACTAGTGATTGGTGGCAGTGTTTACAAGCACAGAGATATCCACAAGGCTACATGGGTGTCACCAGACGGGCGAACCAAAAACCAAATTGACTTTATCACAATATCGAGGAAGTGGAGACGCAGCCTACTGGACACAAGAGCAAGAAGAGGAGCAGACGTTGGCTCAGACCACTACCTCGTACAAGGGACAATCCAAATCAAATTAAAAGCTTTCAGGGAAACAGGAGCTGCAGATAGACCACAAGCCAAGTTCAACACTCAAAAGCTGAAGGACCAGGCTACAAAGGACATCTTCATTGCAAACATAAGGGAAAAAGCCGAGACACAAATCAACACCAACGAAAAGGTCAGCGTCGAAAAGCACTGGAACAAATTGAAAACGGTGTGGAGTCAAACCTGCATGGAAGTCCTAGGCAGAAAAAAGAGACAGGACAAACAGTGGCTCTCTACGGACACTTGGAAACTAATAGAAGAGAGAAGGGTGGCGAAACAAAAGATTATCCAGTGCACCGACGAGCAACAGAAACAGGAGTTGAATGCAAGCTACAATGCACTGAACAAAAGAGTGAAGAAAAGTGCCAGGGAAGACAAAAGAAAATATTGTGAAACCATGGCAAACGAAGCAGAACAAGCTGCAGGCAAAGAAGACCTCGCTACACTATACCAAACAACTAGGCACCTTTCGGGCAAAAGTTCGACACAGATTAAGCCAATAAAGGACGACAATGGAAAGTCAATCACCAAAGAGGTGGAACAGAGGAAGCACTGGGCTGAACACTTCAAAAGACTTCTAAATCGTCCGCCACCTACAACGCGTCCAACAATACCAACAACGGAAGCAGAACTACCAATGAACATCGACCCTCCGACGAAATCCGAAGTCCTGAATGCCATCAAGATGCTAAAAGCTGGGAAAGCGCCAGGACCAGATGGAATCCCAGCAGAAGCTTTGAAAATAGACCCAGAGACAACAGCGGACTTGATGACGCCACTACTAGAGAAGGTGTGGAAAGAGGGCAAGCTACCCGATGATTGGAAGAAAGGATACTTATTCAAACTGCCAAAGAAAGGAGATTTGAGTCAATGTAAAAACTGGCGTGGAATTATGCTTCTGTCCATTCCAAGCAAGATACTATGTCGCATCATCCTGGAGAGAATTAAACAAGCCCTAGATGAAAAACTTCGTCCGGAACAGGCCGGATTCAGGAGGAACAAGTCATGCATTGACCGAATCGCCACCCTACGGATTATCATTGAACAAAGTTTGGAATGGCAGTCACCTCTCTATCTCAACTTCATCGATTTTGAGAAAGCCTTCGACAGCGTCGATCGAGAGGTGATTTGGCAACTACTTCGCTACTACGGGGTGCCACCTACAATTATACATCTCATCCAACAGCTGTATGACAACGCTGCATGCCAAGTAATCCACAACGGGAGGCTCACGGAATCCTTCGAAGTGAGGACGGGAGTGAGACAAGGCTGTCTACTGTCACCAATGATCTTCCTGATTGCAGTTGATTGGATAATGCGACAGACAACGGCAACCAACGAGGGAACAGGCATAAAATGGACCGACACAAAAGCCTTGGAGGATTTGGATTTCGCCGATGATATATGTCTGATTTCCCAAAAACTGGAAGATATGCAAGTGAAAAGTAACAAGTTGGCAGAAGAAGCAGCAAAGATAGGACTTCAAGTGAACATAGACAAAACAGAGGTAATGAAGATTCCTGGCCAACATCAACAGCAACAACCGACAACAATCAGCATAAATGGGAGGAACCTGAAGGAAACAACTTCTTTCACTTACCTGGGAAGCATCGTCTCAACTACAGGAGGAACTGACGAGGATATCAAAGCCAGAATCGGAAAAGCAAGACAAGTTTTCATTTCTCTCAAGTCTATGTGGAGGTCAACAGCATTCAACGTCAAAAATAAGATCCGTATTTTCAACTCCAATGTGAAGTCAGTACTACTACACGGATCAGAGACTTGGCGTGTCACAAAGAGCAGCTCAAACAAGCTACAAACCTTCATTAACAAAGGCCTTCGCTCAATACTCAAGATCAAATGGCCGGAGAGGATCAGCAACAAAGATCTCTGGGAGCGAACCAACCAGGAACCGATCGTGAAGCAAATAGGCAGGAAGAAATGGAGATGGATTGGCCACACTCTGAGGAAACCAGCAAGTGACATCACTAGACAACTCACTCGAGTGGAACCCGAAAGGGAAGCGACGAGTTGGCCGTCCAAGGGTGACCTGGAGGAGATCATGTGAAGAGGAATTGAAAGCGTGTGGGCAGACTTGGAGCCAGGTGAAAACTACAGCAGAGAACCGAACGCAATGGAGACGCATGGCTGAAGCCCTATGTTCCTCTAGGAATTAAAGGAAATAATAATAATAATTATCCTGTTTTATTTTGCTGTTGGTGTCTTCAGATTTTTTTTTGTTTGTTAAATACTCCTTTTAAATGTTTGAAAAATGAGATGCAAATATTGTAGATATGTGCTGAAAATACCACACTGTACCACTTGTACTGTTTCAGGAATAAAGCAAATTATTATTATTAGTTTACCAATATTCTGAAACAGAATGATAAACAAAATCATCTTGACCGCATACTTTCACTTCACTTCACCTCATCTCACATTCCATTGAAATGTAATGCACTTCACCTCATTTCTTATATTCAATGTCCATGTGCTAAATTAATTTGTAAAACACCAATTTGAGAGACTTCAGCTGAATCAGGTATAAATAGACTGGCTATTGACAAAGACAACTCATCGTTTGAGGCAGACAGGTAGACCACATCTGGGAATAGGTAAGTCCACGACGTTTTCAATACTATTTGCTGTTATCATGATGCATTATTCTATAAGTGAACTACACGACACTGATATTCAATCATGTAATTTCTTCTTATTTGAGGAAGGAGATTTGTCCCTCACTGTATTCTCCTTGATGGTCAGAGATAGTCGGTGAGATGCATGTGTGGTCGTTTCACTGTCAAGTGGTGTTGACAATGAGAATACACACTGTTGAAATGTGATCTTCCCTGTGATGTTTACTCACAATATGCTCACAGATCAATGAATGTAAGCGCAGTCAATTCAACATGGAAATGTGTGTGATATGCACTCAACTCAAAACATCCATTGAAAGCACACACAACAGACTCGAACAATTGATGAAATACTCAATAATGTGCCACACTGAAACATTGACTGTGTACAAGTCGGTCTGTTGTAGTATCTGAGGCAAAGGAGATTCCACATTTACAATCAATCCACTTGCACATGAATTCACTCACATGCACACATGAAAAGCCATGTAACATGAATTCATCAAGGAATCGCCACAGTCTACACGGGAATCAGTTTTCTCAATGATTTTATTCTCATCACGATATCTAGTGGTGACTGTTTATTTGTCTCTCAGATTTGAACTTCTACATCATGCAGTGAGTTACCATGATCAATGTGATTTCTCGTATTCATAAATGAGGCATGTACTATCTCCTTGTATGTTACTGCACATGCAGAGTTATTGTTTCGTTTGTATTCCGAGCGTTGCATTAAGCATTAAAATGTGCATGTCTCTCTCATTCTCTTCCTTTCCTTACAGACTCTTCATTCTCAGTCTTCTCGTGTGTATCCACACATTACTCGCTGAATCCAATGTCGACAAGACATACATGCTTCATTTACGTTGGCTTCCAACACACTGTCTCAACAGATATGTACGTTTACTCATCCACATAATTTTGTGGTGATCATGTCTGTTGTTATTATTATTATCATTTCATCATTTCGATTCATCGACTATCCAACCTCACGTGGACGTGTCATCCTAGTGTTTGTTAGCGTCACAGACATCACAAAACCAACCTGTTTAGTCACTTGATATCCCTTTGCATTCATACACATGGGTGGTCACACGGTTTTGTGTCAGTGAGCTATCAGGCTCAATCGATGAATGTTAGTGCGTCCATTCACCGATAGGGGACGTTGGAGTTCTTCAACCATCGTCACACATACATGCATCTGAATTCAGACATAGATCAATGTGAAGGGAACCTGCAATGTACATGTATCACGTCCATTCCATTCACCTGGTGAATGAGTATTACACGTTGAATACTGCTTGATACACAACTTCTTCTTTGTAACCATAACCATGCATCTGAAACATCAATCAGCATCAGTCAGTGAGGTGTATCATGACAAATCAATATCGAACTACATAACCACACGTTGTACAATCATTACAAACACACACACACACATCAGATTGACGTCGACAGTACTCATCAGTCAAATTAATTTCAATCGACCAATAAAAATCTCAATTTGCTTTTCAGTGTACTGTCCCGAAGAATACAACTATGGATATTTCGAGATTGAGGTGAGATTACTGTGCATTTGCCTTTTGTACATTGACACATTCGCCGACATCACAGAGGTGTGGTGCTCCCCTAAATGCGATGAATGAGTTGTATGTATTCTCTTAAATATATCAGTACTTCACTAAGGTATGCGAACATGGATAGAGTTAGGAAGATAGTCATGGGAACTTATAAGATGAATCAGTTGACACCAGTCGACCTGTTTCATGATGATAATGCACATTTGATCTTTGATGATGTGCACAGTTGGTGCCATCATTCAGACAGTCAGTGTAATGCAAGATGAATTACTCTGTCACAAGAAGACAGATGCATGTGAGTGGATATGTGACTGGCTACACTGCAATGATGCTTCCGAGTGATTATACAGTGGTCTGTAAAGTTTGCCTAAATATCACCACAATCAAACCTCTCATATGTTATATATTACAGGGCACACTTCATGTAAATTAGATAATTTATATAATGATCGGATGTCAAAGAGTTTTCTGTGAGTAAATTCTGACAAAGCTGAGATAACTGATTGGAGATGTTATAGCATGATATCATGTTATTCAGGTAGACACTTGTTCGAATTACACTTTCACATATGCTCGCTTAGTGATGTGTGACTGTAGTGATGATTCTGTCCCGAGGATGATTTCAGTGTATCAATATTATTTGCTACATCTTTTATGGTAATACTGAGTTATTTCACAATTTCAGAACATCACCTCACTTCAACTGGACTGATTTCGCATGCACAAGTCGTCTAAACTTCTCCGACAAGGATATTGTGAGTGACAAATCGGACATTTTATGCAGGTGTCTTCAAAATATTACTTCTTCGCACATAACAACATTTCACCATGTCATTCACTTGCACAACTTGCACCACTGACGGGAATTGTGAAAGAGCAGCTGGCATAGCACACACTGATCGCCATTTAACCATTCCACTTCAATTTTCTCTCGACTTTCCTCTTCATCTTCAGAGTAAAATTCCTGATCTGAATACTTATTGGACTAATCCAACTCATGGACCTTTTGCACAGTGAGTCACCTCTCAGTTTTGCTATTGTCTTTCACACAACTATGCATATCATGAACTTTACTGTGGTTTTTCAGTAATCAGAGCAAATCTGTGCGTGTGCGTGTGTTGGCGATTGTTTGCTTATAGTGATTCATCTGAGGGATTTGTTATTGCCTTTTCGACACCCCTGCACTTCGACATCCCACTTCCGGAGAAGTGAAATCAGTTAGTGTGGGGATGTGTGGATGGTTGACGAAAGTGTCGATGAACACCATGTTTGTGTGCGTGTGTATCAGCCTGTTGGTTAGTTGTTGTTTTTGTTGTAGAAGGTGGTGGTGTTGGCAATCTACCAGCGATAAGATTTCCCAATACTGAAGCCGTTCTCGTGCATTCTGATTATTTTTCTCAAAATAATCTCATATTTCAGCTCCGGGGTTTACTATACTTATGGATTTTGTGCAGTTATGGATGAATCTGGGTCCAGTTTAACTCTCTACCTCAATCACAGCATTAATCTCTACAAAAAACTCATGACGCCAAAGTACGTTGACAGAGGTTCCTTTCTAAATATGTTTATTTAATATTATTATTACTATTCGAGTTATAGTAATCATTTAATTGTGTGGATTGTGAAGCTGCATTCACGCCAGCTCACATCCATCTGCCTTTCTTCATGACACAAAGTGAGCATCCTCACAGTGATCTCACACTCGAAAATCACAGTGTCCATACTCAGCTTCATTACCATGTGTACTGTATGTTGCAGTCAGTTGTGGACTGATCTAACTAGGGACAGGACAGGACAGGACTGGACTGGACAAGGAAAGTTGATTTATGCTGATGGAGTCAGTGATTCGTGGGACATACTGTGTTGAAGTTTTAAACAGTATGGTAATATCGGGATCAGGATAGATGAGACGGTGTTTTGATACAGATTCCATTCATTGCTGGAACTACTGGGGCGAGGAATGTATCAAGTAGATTCTGTGTCTGCATTCTACATCGAGACAATACTGACGCACCAACACATTTCTTGATCTGATCTTTCATATTCGACCAATAACACACATTTCCCTTCATTTTAGAAACGTTAAAAAGCTCCATAGATTATTACAGAAGAAGGTTCACTCGGTAAGTTGACAATCAATTTGTCCATCAGACAAATTCATTCTAATTCAGAGTAATCTACATTGAATAATCACACTGATTCACAAACTATATTCATCCACTCTATTCGTGTAGACTGCAAAAATGGAAAACAAACTGTTGAAAATATTCGGTGTACAGCCCAAGTTGATCTGTGCACGGAGTAAGGTAGGTTATGTCTTTCCTATGCACACATATTTTCAAATATTTCATCATATCAATATAATTGCGATCTATTACATCTAGTGATAAATAACATATGCTTTTCAGATTGTTGAATGAGTGTGTTTCAATCGGATTCGCGAATCTCTTGATTTAGCCAACCACAACCAGAATTCACGTCAGTAGCTTCTAACAGCATTCAAAGTATTCAGGTCTTAACTATTTTGAACTTCTCTAAAGGTGTGTGTTGGAGACACATTTCGATTGACGAATCATCGCTTTTTCAACTACCTAATTAACACAATTGTCTTTCTTGTTCACCATTTCGCATTCTGTAGGTTGGGAGTGTTTACTTACACGAATTGGTATTCTGTTTCAATGAAGCATCATCACTCGTCAACTGTCCATCAGAATACGCTAGCCATCTAGAGAAATTTAAACCTGATGAGTATGTGAAAGATAAGAAAACACTTCGTGGGCAAATTGAGTCTCAAATCTTGTGTCCAGCCAAGTTCATCATTCCTGGTTACAAAATACTTGGAAACGCCAAAAGATACAAGCGTTCCATCCACGTCAATCCTAATGAGAATTAATTATGATGACGATTAATTATGATGAAGATGATGAGGATGAATTTGATGAAAATTATCAACATCTTGAGTAGTATTGAACTTTTGTTACTCCAGTTAGATGGGAATCATAATAAGGATGACAATGTACCACTTGCTTTTCATTTGATGTACTCACTTCTTGTAATGTAGTCTCTAACAAATAAAATACATCTTACTTTTCAATGGAGTTTTCTCACTGTCATCATCCATCTCCGTATGGACATCATGTCTACCTTTCTAACACACAAAATGTGTATGTCATCAATGAATCTTGTTTTCGGGGAAACAGCATGGTACACTTATGATGATTCCGATCATGATACCATAGTACTTCCACGTTATCACGTTCTACTATGTGCTAACTGTGTACTCGGTCGAAGACAAACAACGTTGTGTAAAGAAGCAAAAGTGAAAGCTTGAAAAGATGTACTGTCAACGAAATTGAATTTCCAAAAGCGTGAGACGAACGCAATTAGTGCATAACTGCTTAAAATATATATGCACATGACAAACGCAAAGCGATATCCAATAATACGATGGCGAATATTGAACGAGCATAAGTGAAATTAGTTTCTGTAAGCGTATAACATGCCTACGTGAACTAGTTTCATAGGCGTATGGTTAGGCTTGCTTGGTGGAAACAGAAGTTGAAGATGAATTTGCGATTTCATCTTTTTGACTTTCTCCATATCGTAATCATCGCTTCCAGGGTTTCCACTTCACACAGTCAGTATTCCCTGATACTTTGTTGCGTTTGTACTGAGCTCCTGGCGCTTGTGCAGAAATTGTGCCATTTCGAAGTTCGCAGTTATTTGTACAATCAGGAGAGTTTCAGTTCGATATCGATTTGTATATTAAATATGTCAAACAATGAAAGGGTATTATAACTGACAGGATTACCTTTCGAACACAATCTGTTGCCCATTTTCATATCAGTTATAACTACACAACTTAGAAACTTCTTTCTTTCGAAAAAACATGCTACTACAGTGCTCAGTGTTTACACATGTATTGAACCATCATTCCCACTGCAAATGCTGAGGTTAAATGACTTCTAGAACAAGTCCATTGTTCCTCGCAAGTATTTGACTATGTGTGATCTGATATTCATCCGATATTTAAGTCGTCATTCAGGAGAATAGAACACAAGTCTAATCAACAAGTAATAGTGCATGTCTTATGGTCGCTCGCATGTCAGTTTGTTGCACACACTTTCAGTTCCGTCAGTATTCGATGTGTGCATGCGTGCGTGTGTGTGTGTGACTAGTACTAATGATAACCGACAACACTGCTACCAATACGACTATCACCAATTGTAATAATAATAATTTCGACACAGGTCAACTTGACAAAATGAATAAACTAGTGCCAATATTTCCTCGTCTCACCAGTCGCTTTCATTCCACAGCCAATGGAACTCATGAATTTAAAGTATCCCTTCAATGACAACGAAATGGAACTAGGACTCAAATAGAATAAATCACTGAAACTAAATGAACCTAGTCTCAACTAAGTCGACTACTAGTCTGCCCGCGAGTTCTTGATTAGAGTCATGTATTTTTTCTGAACATGCACATAAATAAATAGCCTCGTTTTCCACTTTGCACTCATCTGTTGTCTAGGTAACGCCTACATTCCAAAAGCCTGTAGTTTAGTCAAACCAGCCAAATAAGTTCCAAAATATTGACGCAAATATTCCTAACTCTCAGTGGCATTCACACATACTGCTCATTGAGTCTTTATGTCTTTTGTTTTAGTATCAGTAATTACAGGTAAGGCAGTATACTGAAACAAAACAGGTAATTAGGCACATTTAATTTGGTATGGATGATGTAGAGCAACATATTAACAAAAAACCAGGGCCTTGAGCATTGTGCTAAATCCCGTTGTTCAAAAAAGGCTGGCTTCACGAATAATGTTTGTGTGTCAGTTGTCTTGAGCAGTTGTAGGACTAGGATGTCATACAGATCTGCACCATTTGGTTAAGCAACCTTAAAATCATTGTCGGATTAGTTGACTGCCTAAAGTCAATCAAATGTTTCGAAATAGGCTGTCGTACTGCCTTCCCTTCCTACATACAAAGTCAAAGTGTGATATGCAATTTTAGAGCTTCTACAACACAGTATGCCGTCGACATTCAGTTTCAGTGCCAGATTGATGAACTCAGAATGATGGGACGAGTAACCGAGTGTGGACTATATTTTTCCCTATGATTTGTAGGGCTCACTTTACCTGTTGAATTATGAATACTGTTTACTTGTGTTGGACTAAGTTTCCCACTTCACTTGCACTCTGCCGTGTTTTGAAAATAAAGGTTTGAAAAACACCACTATTCGGCTACAGTATCACGAGGCATCGGTCAGTGATTTGAAAGAAAATCCTTGTAGGAAAGTCATTATCGAAATCGATGATCGCGATTCGTCCATTTTTGGCGTTCTATTCTGTTATAGCTGACTACGATCTAAATGTCGCTGTCTTTTGGTTGTTCCTCGATTGCTTTTCGCTCGTTCATGTATACTATTTCATGTGGACAGGTACATCTTTAGTTCATGAATATTTTGAATAATATTCAATATGTGTAGGTATCTGCATCAATACAGTCATGCCTCTTCTTTGAAACGACGCAATCTACCTGCACATGCTCTCGTGATGACATGGCATAATAATTCTTGAGCGTTAGCCAACTGCATACCCTGATAGTTTATCACACATTTCAAGAGTTTACATTCGTTCATCACTGAAATTACATTAAAGAAGTATTTCAAATATCATGAGATAAGATGGCTAAAACAGAATTCAGGGAAGCTTTTCAACTTAAAATGAGCTTCCACTGTTTATGATCAT